TTCAATACTGTAGATTTTATACACTTGCTGTTTTAACCAAAGCAGCAATCAAATAGAGATAATAAACCAAATCCATGTTCTAAATTTAATCAATGGTTATGATTTCAATCAGTAGTTCATGTAGAAATCTTTCAGAATGTAACCAGAAAGAAAAGGTAGATATTTATGGTGCATTGCTTTTTTTTTTTTTAAATTTATTATTATCTTTGGCTTGGTTTTTGCTTAATAGAGCATCAACCACTACAGGGTTATTTAAGGCCAGATAGAGGTTTTGAATCGTGGTTGTTTTGGGTATAGTTTGATGTTATATGTGGATCTTGATAGTTTTAGTTACAGGTTAGTTGTTAAGTTTTTTTTTTTATTTTTTTTTTTTTTTTACTTCTTTTTAATCAGTTATTAGAGATGCTGGTTTCTAATACAAGTTGGTTATTAGAGTTTGCATTATTATTTTTTGTGGGGATTTTTATGAAGTCTGAAGGGTTCTTTTTCCTTTTTTTCAGTTTTCAAAATATATTACAAGGTTTTATATGGTTTTGTTGGGAGAATTTATAGTTTTATATTTTGGTACAAGTTTGATTTCTTTTAAGAAGCTAATGATATTGTTTGGTTTAGTGTTTTGAAAGTTCTTTTGTATTATTTGCTTGATAATATTTTGTTTGGGTTTGATTGAGATGATGGCAGCTGATGAACATATATTTGACTGTGAGAAGTACATGACACCTATAGCATTATGGGGGAGTTTCATTTTTAGTAAATGTGAGTGTCAGATGTGTATGACCTATTCAGAATCTGGACCAAACTATTTCCTCCTGTCTTATTTTTGTGAAACCTCAGCCATTCTCCTATAGTTGATTGAATTTTTATTTTGTAATTAATTTTCATGTATGTACAAATGAAAATATTTATTTTAGGTACTTAAAAATTAGTCAGACTTTTATATTTTTGGGGTTATTAAAAGAAATGCTACTAATAGTACCCAAAATGTATTTTTGGTAAGATATTAAATAAATGTATTGATTTGAAATAAAACAAATGAAAATTTATTTTAATACAGATTCTCGTTTGTGCTTCTAACAAAAAAAAAAAAAAAAAAAAAATTAATGTAAACATTGAGAATTTTGGTAAAGAGAAACTTATGTTCCTAAAATAGTAAATTACAAATTAAATGCATTTATTAATCAAAATAAATGTTATCAAAACAGTTGTCTATAGTTAATAAATCTGCTTTTTTTTTTCTTTTTTTTTCAGCTATTAAATAAATCTTCATGATTTAAGAGGACATTTTATCACTGATATAAAAAATAAAAAGATGATTCTTAAAAACAAAAAGCATAAAATTTCAATGTTTATAACATTTTTTTATATAAGAAAAAGAGTTCCTGGATCAAAATTTTTAGTAACTCTTGACAATGTCTTTTTTTATTCATTTTTTTGTTTTTCATTTTTTTTTTTTGCACAACCATCAAGTAAAGATAAATGTAAAAAGAAGTATATAGAATTTAATTTCATTGATAAAACAAAGAACTAGAGTAAACAGTTGGAACATCTCAACTGTCTAAAGTTTTTATGAATGAATTCCATTTTATAAATGTTGAGAAGCATTCTTTGCTTAGCAAATATCAGCAGTATCAAAGATCAGATGGTTTTTGTGCCAATGAAGTAGTTCTACACAAATGCATGTGTAAATCTAGAGAAGGAAAAAAAAAGTACAATATAGGGAGTATTGGCAGTATGTGTGAATTCTGAACATGCCTCCATTAGAAAGTATTAGTTCAGGCATAGATGAAACAAATGATTACAAACTAAAGAAAATGTAGTTACAGAAGTCAGCAATGGTTTAGCATTAGCAAGACAACTTAGGTTAAGTCAGACACAACCACACTTATAAGACAACAATTTATAAACTTTCACACACCCAATGCATCAGCACACCATGTACAGTTGAATCATGTGCATTATAATTAGCTACTGTGGAGAAAGAGTCAGGTCTTAGTATTTAGCATTAGTGACTGACTACAGCCATATTGGGTTATATGCCTATAGTAAATGTTATTACATTTATGCAACCTTCATCTTTAATTCTAAAAATTATGTACACAGCTAAATGGTTTGCATATATTAGCTCTTTTTAGTATTAAATAAAACAATAGCTTTATGGACTATATACAAATATTCACAGACATCATAGTCATTTAGAATATTTTAAATTCAGAAACTAATATAAAGTAAAATGTAGATTAACACAATTTTTAAATATATACATAATTTGATAGCATTGGGATCATTTGATAATGTAAGAGAAGAGGTTTTTTTTCTGAACATTGAGAAAACAGTATAACTAAGAGAAGGTATCTTGATTTTCCTCATTTTATGTAAAATTTATTTTCATTAGTAAAAATTAAACTATCATAGTAGAACTGCATATAAGATGTTTTTTTAATAGCACCAGGTTGACAAAGTAAGAATAGCAAAATACAAGAGTGAATTAAAACTAATTTATGCACCAAGTTAAACTAAAAACAATTTAAATTAGTAGTTATTTTAATGTAAGTTTTCATCTCAAAAATATGTCTTGTTAGAGAATAATATTCTATATTATAAATAATCTTTTTGGACATATAAAATTAAGCAAAATAAATTAATATTACATTTTAACCAATCCTTTAATCTTTAAATAAATATTTAAAATAGGATCATTTTCTAAAGTATTGGAAATGCAGGTTTTGATCAGAATGCATAAAAAGAAAATGTTGCTTTTTATTAACATGTTTCTATAATGAATGTCCCATTTTGTCTATTTTGCTATTCACTGACTGTAGGCTGATAGTCTTTTGAATTTAAACTTTATTGCTAATTTTACATATGTAATTCTGAATTGTATTTTGTAGTTTTAACTGCGAATTAAAGGTTCTTCCCTCAGTACCTAGATTTGACACATTTACATTGCATTCTGTTAATATATGTATGCATAGAAAAAGTGTAGTTTCGGTTACAAAGCAGCAATAATGTTAACATTTTACCATGTATTGATAATACATAAAATCAGATTGAAAACATTTGTCTGCAATGAACTATTCATTTATGAGTATTCAATAATTGCAACTCTCAACAATAGCCATATATTAAAAATCAGTTTATATTCACTAAAACAATTTTTCCCCAATTCAATGAGATTTTAAGAAATTATAATAGCTACAACACTAATTTAAAATGACAATAGTTACTAAGTTAGGATTATTTTCTTTGAGAAAACATAAGTCCTGTAGTCATAAGATAGTTCCATAAAAAATATATAGACTCAATAAACAAACGTCATATCTGGATAAAATACAATGTGAATCTGGCACGGGAAAGGAAAAATGCATTTATATATACATATATAATTTTTCATGTGTACCAAATTTGAAGAAAGGTATGTCTAAGTACACAAATTGAAGAGAGCCTGTAATTCAAGTTCATTATTTAAAGAATAAAATAAGCAAGTAAATTTTTAGTTTCTGTTCAAAAAATATTCTGGACAAGACATTTATTTCATTCTGATGAAATGAACTTTAAAGATATCTTAAAAAAGAAAAAAAGTTAATGATTAAAAACACTGAATTTCATTTGAAAAGAAGATTTTAAACATTGATGATCATTTATTGGACAGTCTAATGAGTGCTGATGAACATTTGATGGTCTAATGAGTGATAAAAGTTTATTTGAAAGAAATCAGATGTTAAATGATTGTTTTATTTTTTTAAAAATTTGATGATAATGCAAACCATTTAAAGCAAAATCAGGTTATGAATATATTTAGGTCATCTGTTTTCTGGGATGCAGTCTTAAACATTGATATTGTAAAACTGGATAATTAGAAAAAAATATGGTAGTTTAATTTGGATAAGTTTAATGTTATAGAAGAAAATTTTTTCTTTCACTGAACATTAATCAAAAAAGAAAAAGGTTTATTATACAATTCTAGAAACTGAAATTAAAGATGCAGTTTTAATAAAAACTTTTTTTTTTATATATATTAGTGACATCAAGATAATATAAATTGTGAATCTGTAAATGCAATTTACTTGATGCCTGTGTAAACTGGCTAGATTGTTAAAGTTTCTCAATGCAAATTTGATGAATACTAGTAAATCCCAGCAGGAAATAGTGTACAGGTATGGTGAAATCACCTTAAATCTGAGAGCTGTATTCCTGAATAAAAAACATTGCTTTATCATTCAACGTTTTAAAAAGAATATTATAATAATTAAAATGAAAATAAAAATCTATAAAATAACTTTTTACAAAGTTAAATTATTATATATCTTTTTAAGTTATGATAAATTTATACTTAAAAAAAAAAAAAAAAACCTTGGTAAAATAAATGTTTTAAAATTAAAGTAATTTTATAGAAGTTTTTTTTTTTCAGTTAAAAATTTAGGTGACAGATTTTGTATTTTAATTGATATTTTTTACAATGACTTATTTAAATAAAAAATCACTATGTTAAAAAATTTAATCAATAAAAATTAAATTGAATGATTTGTGATTGGCAAATTCAGTTGATCTTGATGTTCAACTTCTCAATGTAGTCAGTTAGGAATGTGCAGTCAGAATTGATTTGGGATTTATTTGCTCTTTTTGAACAGAGCCACTTTTATTCTATAACTGATTGTCTGAGTCATATACATAACAACACATTAGGTTTTCTATTTATTAAAAAAGGCATTAGAATGATACTTTATAGGATATCAACTAAAAGTAAATAATGTATGGTACCCATAACCATAAATTTGATTAAAAATATCATGCATAAAGTGTACTCATAAGAAGAGACCATTTAAATAATCAATTGGTCAATAAATACAGCTTTACCAAGGAATGATTTCTATTTTCATTTTATATGGTCACATATTGAAAGCAAAGTTTATATTTTTGTTTATTTGGGATTAACCAACTAGATATTTTATTTTCAGTTTATTATTAGTATTTTAAAATAAGCTAAATTTGCTTTCTTGTTTTCATTCTCCAAATGTGTTAAACATCCCAGTAAGATCACTAAACTCTGAAGTGGACTGGTCAAGCATTGGGAACATGTTATTAAATTCTTCAGGTTGCTGTTGCTGTTGTTGCTGAGCTGCAGTTGGATTGGCTTGAGATGAGCCCTGTTGAGTATGATCACCCCCATTGTTTGACCACTGTTGCCATAAGGACTGGCTACCTACAAAACAACCAATATCACATTCATAAACAAAAAGTAAAAATTAGTAATAAAAGATATTGGCACTGTGATGCTTGTACTGACCCTCCTAAAATTGTTGCAATCTGACAAATGTCTAGAATAAAATTTATTTTTCCAATTTCAAATGTCTTGTAACAATTTTGAAAGAAAATTTTAATTTTATATTAACAAAATTGTCTTTCAGGAGAAAATTTACTATATTTGAATTACAAAAATATAAACTAGGAGAATAACTTGTAGCTGAGAAAAATACTAATGGAATTTAGTTATATATAATATTGACAGATACACAAACTTAAAGACTAAACTTTATTTTAAGCACCACAATTGAAAGAATGCAATCCTTCAATATTATTGCTCTGTTTTTATACACACATCAGACATTTATTTTTGTTTTCATTCCTTAGGAAAATGATAAATACTAATATCTACCGAGTGTACAGAAAACATCTCTCAGGAATGTGTTTTATTAACATTTGAGATTAAGGAGATTTTGTTGCATTGTTCTGCTTGCCATAAAAAGCACTTAATATCTCTGATTTTGGACTTGGATACTGACCACTGGTGTTAATAGGAAACATGTCATTTTTGTGATTGCATATAAATAACTTCATGTGATATTTATTCTATCCCATGGACAATGTTTGAATGTTATCAACCCTTCTTTAACTCTCTATTCTACAAATATGAAAAGAGAAAAAGTAGAAATTAAGGTTTAAAATTTTATGAACAATAAAAGAAAATTCTGATGTTTGGCAGTCTTCAAGCAACTAAAATTGCAAATAAAGTGTCAACATCTCATACCTAATTCATTTGCATTAAATTTTAATTTATTTGCTACCATCTGTTTTGAGTGATTTTTTTTCATGTTTTGACATTTTATTGTTAATTTTTTCTCACTTCTATCTTTCACTAAGAAAATATAAATTTGGCAAAAATAAAAAGTTAGGCTAAAGAAAATGAAATATAAAATGTTCTAATTAGAAAATAATTTAAAAGCTCAAATTGATTCCTATAGTTTATCATTTTTAGGATAATTTTACAAGAAGAAATTTTTTTGGGGTAGTAAATACACTGAACATGCTAAAGCATTATACAAATGTAAATTGTCAAAAGTTGTTCTACTGCATATCTATATTTACTGTATGTTTGGTTAAAAACACAAGAAAGAATAGCAAGAATAAAAGGAAATGGAAAGCTGTTACAGTAGTGAACTGAACTAAAATATTTTTCTTTGAAATTCTTTAGACAACTAGAAAAATCTCTCTAAACAGATTCTTGAAAACAAAAGATGAAACTCAGTATGAATTGTTCAATTTTCCAAAAGACAAACTACATATAACATTTTAGAAAATAAAAAAAATGCTGATAAAAATCAAACTTCTGGTGAAACTAACAAAATATATCAATTAAAAAGATACAGGCACAAAAAGAAAGAGAGGGAAAGAAAGAAAAAGAAAATATATTTTAAAACTATGTGATTTAAAAAAGTTCATTTTATCAGGTACTTAACCTCATAACATGAACTTTTCCAAATCCCAATTTAAACTTTTTTTTTCTGGGGAAAAAGGAATAGAATTATGTAAGTTTAAAAAAAAAAAAGTAAATATATGAGTGTTAATTCTGAAGCTAATGAAAAAATTAAACAAATTCTCTGAGATGCTTAAATGCATTGTTGAAAGAGAGCAACAAATGTTACATTCAAGATTTTTTGGTCTTTTTTAACTAAATTATGAAATTCTTCATGAAGTTAATGATTTTGAATATTCATATTGATTAGGTGAAATGACAGACTTTTTTTTTGAATTGTCAAACAAAATATAATGAAAATATATTAAAATATGTGATGAAATTATATGTCAATAGTGGGTACTAATGACTTCAGTTATTAATATATATTGATACTGATGTTTAATCAGAGCAATAGGCAGCTGCAACAAACTTAACAAATAACAGTTAATAAATCTTAAATTTTGTTTCAAGTATTTGAATATCTGTCTGAGATAAAGAATCAACATGGATCATTTTCAAAAAATCAAGATCCAATAAACTAAATATAAAAATACCTCTTTAACAGATATAGATACTGCAAGATGGTAAGTAAAGGGAGCAGGAGTTGTCATTTATAGGAAAGGAAAAAATACTTGAATTTATTGTATCCAGCCATTTATTTGGAGTGAAGAGTTAGTAAGAATAGTGGTTGCTGCAGCTTGGACATAGAAGTGGAGAGTTAAATTTGACTTACATTTATAATCTGGTAAGTTGAAACCTACAGGCGGCAGATCTGGAAACCAAAATATAAGAATGACTACTGGGGAAAGCCTGTATATTGTCAATCAAGAAATCCTCTCAATAGAAACACTGCTGTCTTATATTAAGCAATAATAGGCTGTGCAGGCAGATTCAATAATTTGGTAAAAAAGAGGAATTATATGTACAATCTATAGTGAAAGGACTAAATTATTTGACCAAACATTGAGATCAAAAATTCTTCCAGTAGATTATATAACTAAAATATACAGGTTTAAAACAACAAGCGCAAAATACAAGAATTGTACTTAAAATTATTAACCCTAATTAATGGGAAGATACTGTAGGGTCATTAATTAAAATATATCCAATAAAGATAAAATTTACAAATGTTTTATTGGCATATCTCTGATCCTTCACTTACTAATAAAGCTATGATGGTTTCCAATAAAGATATTGCAATTCCTCTTCAGGAATTTTTTGTAGATACTTTAAATGATATATTCTTAATTTTATCAGTTTGAGATATAAACATGTCATATATATATATATATATATATATATATATATATATATATATATAAGTTAAATAAATTAATATACATAATTAAATCCAATTTTTTTCGGTTATTGGTGAAATTTTTATTCAAAGTACTTTTTAAGTAGTACAAAATTCATGGTTGATATTTCTTTTTAGGCATGTTAAAACTATTATAAAGAATCATTTACCTCTATATTTGTAATGGATGAATTTGTAATTAAAATAATTCTTACAAAATTTCATGAAAAAAAAAAAAAAAAAAAAAAAAGAAGAAATTCTATAATTTTGCTTAATTTATGTTACAAATATTTAACAGCTGACTTTGATAAAAACAAATCTTTATTCTAGTTTTTGAAAATGAGAATTTTTTTTTTAATTTGATCTAATTAGCTATTTTCTTTCTATAAAAGAATACTTAAAATATTTCCAATGAACAAAATGTTTTTCCTTCTAAATAGAGAAATATTTTAGTTTCAATTATTCTGATCAAACCACCTATAATTATAAACTACATTCTACAATTTCATTTTTCCTTTGAACTAAAAATATCTTGAAAAAATGGGTTTTACACCCCATCTTCATATAAATAAGAAAAAATTATAAAGATAAGGAAATATTTTAATGCAATATCAAAACTGCTATTCTTAAGATCATAAAATTATATAAAAAAGTCATTATGGAATATTAAGATGTTCTGAAATAATAACAAAAAAATTATCTTATACAAAATAAGTTGCTTTGTCACATTAGAAAAATTACACTTTCAAGAGAAATAAAACTGAATAAAAATCTTACAAAAACAAAACTAAATTTCATGATTTACCATTGTTTAAAGTAACAATATAAACTATGATAAAAAAATCTCATCTAATTACATCATCATTGTAACTTTAGCATAAACTTTTTACATCTATTTTTAATCAGATATAAAAAAAATAAAAAGGAATAATTTTACATTTAACAATCTACAAAAAATATTTATATGTATGAGGAGGTACTGAAAAATTCTCAGCTTGAACCAATTCCCCAAATCCCTATTTCAATAACTAAACATTTGTGTAAAAAACTTTTCTGTAATACTCAATTTTTTTAAAATTTTATTTCAGCCATCTAGCTACTTTCAGATAATTATAGGTGAACAGTATAATAAAGTCTTGTGTAAACTTGAATATTAAATATATTATATATAATTATATTATTTGATAAAAATCAAATATTCATGATGTAGGAATTCAACAGGATTTGCAAAGAACAATCAATAATTACTATATATCACTGTACAAGACACTATACTTTTAAATATTCACATAAAAGCAACAGTTTTGTAGTTGAAACAGTGTTCAATTAAATATAAACAATTCTAATGTCATTTTTCAACATACCAGGAGAACTGTTGTCTGGACTCATTTGATTGTATCCTGGATTGGTGCTATAGTCGGCTGAAGGCTAAAATAGAAAAATGTAGAAATATATATGTATATATATGTATTTTATTGCTGACATCAAAATACAGCCGAAAAGAATGTAAACAGAATTTGCCAGTTAATTGAGGACAAATTATAATATAAAGAAAAACAAATATACTCAATAGAAAAAAAAAATCAGTATACTTTCAAAAGGGATTTAATATATAATTAAATAAAAAAATCAGTGTATATTCAAAAGGAATTTGCTTCCAATCTGTTGCAGGGAACAAATTCCCTGCATCAGATTGGAAGCTTCCATGTTAATGCTCTTGATATATCTGATAGAGAAATGAGAATGATAAAATTTGGTGCATACGCTGTAATATTGTTAGGTTATCTTCCATTTATGCTTAGCTAAAAATATCAGTTTTCAAATGCCTGGCACATTCTGTTGTATTTAGTGTGTGGGGGATACAATGCTTTTTATTTTAAATGTGAAACATCATTTAATTTTATATTCAAAGTTTTTCTTTTATTTATATTATTAAAAAGATATTGATAAAATTAGATTTTGATAGTATTTTTTACAAAAGATAAATTATTTTTGTCAACTTTTAAAATAAAAAGCATAACTAATATTTCTTTTTCATTTTTTGCTATTGTTAATCAATTCCCTCAATAATCAAAATTAAAGACTAAATAGGTGAAATCTACCATGTTTTTCCATGTTTAAATAAAAAATAAATTAAAAAAAACAAAAGGAGAATCAGATGGTTTGAACAGATTAAATTGTAAAAATAAATGAAAATAATTAAAATAGATATTAAAAGAAAATTTCCATGCATTAGATTTATTCTAAATAAATTTTAATTTTTAAAAATTTATATTCAAAGAAACAACTTTTACTTAAATTTTATTTAAGAGAGACTTTCTGATTATACGTATAATGTTAATAATTCCGTCAGTAAAGTTTGCATTAATTTATGACCACTCAAAAATTTCTTTGCCTTGATTTTCAATGCACAATTAAAAAAATTTAGCAGTTAATTTAAAGTTCAGGTCAAAATCTACAAATTTTGTGTTTAACCATTAACTTTTTCTTCTGCTTCTTATCAGAATTATTTATTTCATTAATGTGGAACATGATTAAGTTGGAGAGTAGTGAACAAACCGTAAAGTCAATATTATATATATATATATATATATATATATATTTATTATAAATTAACCGATTTAAAAATATGGTTTCTTTGCTACACAGGAATTACCATATTTCAAAAACTGAAGCTAAAAACTTCAAATTTAATTATATAATCAAATTAAAACCATTAGTTCTGTTTCATCTTCAAGTGAATTTTGGAATAACTTATTTTTAAATTTACTTAGTTTTAAAAGAACATACATTCATAATTTTTTGTTTTCGAGGATAAGTGCAAAAAAAAAAAAAAAAAAAATGATACTGATACATAAAGGTGAGCAATGGATAAAAAATTCTTATGACCACTTTGACATTACAATGGGATCACTAGATTCAGCTGAGTCTTCTGATCTTTTAGGTCTTTTTATATACAATCTCACAGAGTACTGTGAAATTACTATAACTGACATTGGTTTATACAGAGACGACGGACTTATGGTTATAAAGAACTCTACTAACTTTAAAATTGATAGAATTAGAAAGATATCATATAAAGAATTTAAATGCTTGAACTTAAAAATTACGGTAAACACTAAATTAAAAAAAAAGTTAACTTTCTTGATATAACATTAGACTTAATGAAAAATGTATACATACCTTATAAAAAACCCAATACTAATCCTTTATATATACACCCTAAATCTAGTCATCCTCCATCTATAATAAAGCATATACCTTTATCTATCAAAAAAGAATAAGTACAAATTCAGCAAGTGAGAAGATTTTCTATGAGTATATTATTTTTTATAATAAAGCTCTAAAAGATAGTGGCTACAAAAGCCCAAAACTAACTTGTATAAAAAAAAGGAATATGGAAAGCATAGAAAAAACAGAAGTAGAAAAATAATTTGGTATACACCCCCATACAACCAAATGGTAAAGAATATTAGGACAAAAATTCCTTGCATTAATCGTTAAACATTTTCCTAAAGATAGTAAACTCAGTACTATTTTCAATAAAAATACACTAAAATTAAGTTACAACTGTACTGAAAACTTAGAGAAAATTAATAAGAAACTGTAGCAAAGAGTCAAATTCTACAGTGTAAGGGACGCAACTCTTTCCGTCGGAAAATGTCTGACACGATGCAACACAAAGCAATGTACACCGAACACGGGTGTAATGCCCTTCAGCCAATTTCTCCAAGCGACCTGCTTTTATGGAGCCCAGACATACCTCATTAGCATGTGTGTAACGCGACTTTGCGTGACTGCACGAGACCGTGAATATTAAAAAGTCACAGACGCCATCTTGGACCCTTTCTTTCTTTTCTCAACCCAGATGCCAGACAGACGCAAGGGCATTTGGGAGGTAAGCCATTTCTATTTTCCCCACACACCACCCTGATCTCATGATCAGAGTTGACAGGAAGGCGGTGATCGCTTTCGACAGGTGCTTCTTCGAAGAGGGACGCTGCAAGCCTCATCACCGCTTGTGCTCCTGTCCGCAGTCTGAGGGTCGAAAAACACCGCGTCCCTTGGAAGGCTACCGATATCTGAGTCACTGCCTGATGGAGCTGGCGTGAACCAGAGCGATGCCTCTCTGGTCTCAGATTCCGAATCGCTCTGGTCGTCCAGCGGTGGTTGCAGCTGCGTCGCCGGCTGCAGGTCCTTAATGTGACGGGGCACACTGTCGACCCGCACCACCTGTGGGCTGATCACGTCCAGTTCCGTATTTCGTTGTGCACTTTTTTGCGCGGGTTTTTAATCCAGACGACATCACCTTTCTTCAGCCTCTCTCCGGTTACTTTCAGTTCCGTCAGCGGGTTGGTCTCTATGCCCTTTACTCTGACGTGGTATCTATGCAATGTGTCGGCGTGAGGGTGAGACATCATCCTTCGGGTCACGTTGTACCGTAGACTGCCTCGACACCACGCAGCCCGTTCTGGCTGCGGCGGTCTTGACGGTCCTGTGGTTCTGCTCGATGATCCCATTTCCACCGGCACGGGGAATACTGGAACCGTAGGTGCACTCCACAGCCATCTGCAAACCTCCTGAACTGCTCACTGGTGAATGCGGTGCCATTGTCGGTTAATATCTCCGTTGGGGGGCCATGTTCAAGGAAGATACTGTTTAACTGACGGATGATAGTGGCTGCATCTTGCTGACGCAGCAGCCGCCATATCGCAAACCTGGATGGACCGCAATCAATGAGTGTCAGGAAATCCTTGCCGTTGTGGTGAGTAACGTCTATCGCCAACTGGCTCCAGTGGCTCCTCACGCTCAGCTGCCCTTTCTTCCAGTGAACGAGTGCTGGGTCTATAGACTGGCACGCCACGCAGCTTCTGACCACTCTCCTGACGTCTGTCTTTTGTACACCTGGGTCAACCAACTTGGCAAAATACAGTGCCCGCTTGACTCCAGGGTGCCCGCTTTGTTGGTGTACTTCTTTGATTCGATTAAATCGAATGGGACTCACGGACGCAGCGCAGGCGGGTTGCATGGGCTCAATAGCTTTCTTAGCGGCGTCAAGCCACCTTTGGGGCACTCTTGTTAAACAATCTGCCTTGTTGAGGCTAGATTTGACCAGGGACACCTCCATTGTCAGTGCGTACTCTTGCACTAGCTTCACGATCGTGTTGCGCCTTCGTCGGATAAGCATCTCGCTGGTGGCTTTAGTCCGCACCTCCTGGCTCCTCGTGGTAAGGGTATCCGAGATCCACTTATAAACGCAAGCGGAATCAGTGAACAGACGCAGGGTGGTCGACTTCCAGAGGATCGCCAAGTTGATCCCCTTGATGACAGCATCGAGCTCCGTTAGGTTTATGTGCTGGGAGTCCTTTTCGACGTAACCAGCAAGCATCTTCCACCACGGCTCCGCGGTGAACTATCGATACGCCGGTTGCAAGAGAGCTTGCGCCAACCCACACACCGAGGTCTTGGCTGTCAATGCACCATCTTCCCCCGCTGGGTCTTCTTTGCGTACTTCTAATGAGGACCTCCTCATCATGGTGTTGAGAGGGTGTCATGAACCGACATCCCATCCAGTGGTGACGCCAGATGCTCTCCGCTGATAAACGCCACCGCAACACGCAGCCAGCCACCTACAGGAAGGTGCCCAACTAACTTGCCGCACAAGGAAAATATGCTTCGCCGTATGACAACGGGGGGCATGTCTGGGAGTTTGTTTCCCCGTTTCCAATACAGAACGTCATCCTCTCCCCAGGAATATTTTTTAATGCAAACAAAATAATCTACGAACAGGCTTTAATGAAAAGTGGACATAACAATAAACTAGAATATATTAATATAAATGATGACTATAGAATACAAAATAAACATAGAACTAGAAGTAGAAATATATTATGGTTTAACCAACTCATAATTCTACGGTGAAAACTAAAATAGGCAAATTATTCTTTAGACTTCTCAAACAAAATTTCCCACAAACTAGTGCATTATATAAAATATTTAATAAAAACTATGTCAAATTAAGCTATAGTTGTATGCCTAATGTAGCTAGCTTAATTAATGGATACAACATGAGAAAAATTAAGGATAAACCATGTACAGCTCCTCCCAAATGTAATTGTAGGAATAAGAAAGCCCGTCCTCTCCAGGGAAAGTGCCAGCAAGTGTGCATGGTGTACCAGGTAAAAATATACAAGGATAGACTTAACAAAACTGATGAAAATCCTAAAGTATATATAGGATTTACCAAAAACAGTTTTAAAAAATGGTATTATAACCATATTAGTAGATTTAATAATGAAAAATTCAAACATAATACCACATTATCTACTTACATATGGAAAATTAAAAATGACTATAATAAAGACCACATTTTGAAATGGGAAATATTAAAGAAATGCCATAAATATAAAGCAGTAATAAGGTTTGTCCTCTATGCATAGAGGAAAACTTCGCCATCACTTTATTTAAAGAACCTAATAATTTGTTAAATTTAAAAACGAAAATTGTAAGTGTAGACATAGAAAACGCTGGTTACTACAATAGGTTTGTTTTCTTCTCGGTTTTTTTTTCTTTTTTTTTTTATTTATGTTTTTGAGTAAATATGTTTTACCCCCGCCCTTGTTGTGTTACTGTTTGTTTTTTTATTTTTTGGTCACATGGTCATGTTTTTGTGTTGTAGGCTATATATTTTCTGTTCTTATAGCACCTCTTTAGCCAGTTTACCCTGATGATCCGCGTAGGTGAAACCTAGGTAGGTTTGTCTGGCTCTTTAGGTTTACTTAGTTTGCTCTACTTGGCATATTGAGCACTTTGCTTAGTTATTTTTACTTTACTTGTGCCGGAGGTTTTTTTCTTTAGACTCTGAACTTTGATTCTAGACAATTATTTTCGCTGGAAGTACATGTTCTTAGTTCTTTCTTTTTTTTACCCTTTTTTTCCCTTGGATTTTGGTCTGTTCATTTACAAGGCAAAACACCTAAGGTTTTGCTGGACAAGTATAGCTGCTTATATTTATAAGATTATTAGTATTTTATATATATATATATATATATATATATATATATATATATATATATATATGATTCAAATGCAGGCTGATTCAGCAATATAAGTTATATAAACAGCTAGTATATAAATGAGGAGGTGCTAAAAAAAAAAAAAAAAAAAAAATCCAGATTCCAATTTTCCACTGTATATAACAATTTAAACTTTAGTTTATTCTTTTTTGCCATGTACCTTTCAAGTCAGTGATAAAAAGCAGTCTTACTTGAATTAAAATATTTGAGTAGTGGCTTCACTTAAATCAGTTTTGTTCAATGTTTTAGAAATCATATGCATATATAGTCCTACTTCATACTGCCACAAACAGTATGAGTTGAGCATATTAATTATACACAAAAAATATATGGTATAGAGAATACATGATTAAATTTACTATTAAAACACAACCCACCTATGTAAATAATTTTGTACAATGTAAAACAGTAGAGGACAAGTTTATTATTATATATTAATCTAAATGGACTAGTGTCCTCATATTGGTTGTTACAGTCAAGTTTCAACCAAGTTGAGAACACTAACCTGAATAGAATAATGTATAATAATAATATAATGGTAATACCCTATATCATATTCAGATGAAAATTACTAAACTAAATATCAGAAATTATTACAATTTTTGAGTAAAATTAATTTATAAAAATTGAATGCTACATTCTGGGTTTTTTTTTTGTTATTGATGGCAAGTTTTAGATGGAGATTATATTATTTATTGCAACATTTTAAACATCTGAAAAAGATTTGGGAATAACATGCAATTTTGTAGGTTTTTCTTCAAGGTTGAATATGTAAACCTAGTGTCAATGTTTACAATACTAATTTTCAAAAATTACCTTTTGACATCAATGAAGATTTTAGGATTTGCAACCTATACAGAAATTCAGTAATAGTTCATTTAAAAAATATAACCAAGAACAAAGATGTTTAATCAAAAAAAATAAAAAATTTTTTTATAACAATTACATGAAATTTCCAGGCTTATAATAGGATATGCTCATACATTAGTTTTCAAGAAAAGTTTTAAACAGGATTAATTTTAATTCCATAGACAGTTGATATAATAAAAACAAACAAGAATTATTATGAAAGAGTGAATTGTATTCAAATAACATGTACGTACTTGTCCTTGTGTATATGCTCCTTGATTGGACCAAGCAGTACCACTCATCTGACTTGGACTTGGGTTTGGGTGTCTAACCAAGGATGGCATAGTTGTGGCTGGTGACACTTGAGAAAGTGACATTGTGGCTGTAGCAGTGTGGCTGGGGTACTTCATAGTGGATTGAGAATTATAACTATAGAGATCTTGTTGAGGCACAGTACTACGATTAGTGCCAATGATTGTTCGGTTGTAGACATCAGCTGCTGCTGCTGAGTGATATGGGTCACGATAATCTGTTTTGACATTGGTTGTCCTCAGACCTAAAGAGTCCGTAGGTAGGCCACGAGGAGCAGCATATGTGTTGATTGTTGGAGTAGGCTCAGAACTTTGATCAGAAGGATTTGGTATAGTCGGGGCAGTAGCAGTTCCTTGCTGAACACTTCTAGAACAATACCAAAATATATTTAGCACAAAATGAAAACAAAAATGAATATATGCATCCAAATTATTTTATGAAGCTCAATTCATGTTGAGACATGGATGTCAGAAAACAGCAACTATATATAAAAACTGTTCAAGAAATTTTAATAATTAATACCATTCCAATTTAAAAGAATGAACTTCAGAAACCAACACTTAACTGAATAAACATTAAATATTTCTAATAATGAATGTAATAACTGTATTATATATAGACAAAATGACATTTAAAAACATGATACAAATGTGTAAAACAATATCTGGATGTTCAACATAACTGAATATCTATTTATTGAAAATGATTTATCAAAATTATTTTATCCTGCATAAGCCCATTGTCAAGTTTTTTGTAAAGAATCCTTCATTATAAAGAAAATAAAAATTGATGACTTTTTCTATTTGATCTTGTTAAGAGAAGTACTTTTCCATAAAAAGAGAGAATGTTGCTTGGTAAATAAAAAAAAAAAAAAGAAAAAAGAGTAATCTGTTAAAAAGTATCTAACTTATGTAATTTTAGTAACATCTTTTAGCAATTTGAGGTCATGTGTTAGCATGTAATAAAACATCCTTTTTAGTGACCAAATAGGTGGTTGAATATTTTGGTTATCAATGCACTATGCTAGTGTACTTTGGCAACTATGAAAGTAGTTATAATGTATCAATTAACTTTTGTCCCTCCAAATACTCACCATAAACTTCCAACATTGATAATAGTTTCAATCACATCAATCCATTGTGAGAAACTACAGATCTCATCAAAACATTATCAGATCTTGCTCTCAAGGAAACATTTTTTCTGCTTTTAAAGTCCTTTTATTTCTTTTTTTACTTTGAAATTTCTATGAATGGATAGTGCTGTGTGTGTGTGTGTGTGTGTGTGTGTGTAATTAAATGGGAACTAGTTCTTTAAAATAACACTGGATTTTATTGAAAAAAAGTTGTAAAAATGAATGGAAATTATTTAAGTTAACTATTTTAATAATTCTTTTTACAAATTTTGCTAATTGATATAAAAAAAAAAAATGATAAAATGTTTGGCCCACTTACAAAATTCTGAGCATGTGATAAAAACATCAAAATTTTTAAAATCCCTTCTTGGTTAAGCTGATAACTGTTCAGCACTCCCTTATAAAGGGTGCGGTGGATGAATGAAAACAACATTGACATCTCATTTTAAGATATATTTACCAAAATTACACAAAAATATCTGGAAATACTAAAGAATAAATTTATTTGATAAAAATCGCCATTGGCTTCAACCATAGCCTCCAAATGACTTCAGAATTTCCTGCAAATCATCTGGACGGGCCCTTTGTTTAAGTTGGTGAATGCTGCCATAATCCTTGCCTTCATTTCATCTTTGATGTTACAAGGAGTTTTGTTGGTCTCTTGCTCAACTGCACCTCACACATAATAATGAAGAAGGTTGCAGTCTGGAGTGTTAGGTGGCCAGATGTAAGGGGTGATGTGGTCGCAGAGATTGTCTGACAGTCATAACTGGGTTCTCCTGCAGAGGCCCAATGGGAAGATGAATGGAGGCATAATGTCACCATTACTGATGATCACTCCAAACACCATGATGTTGACTGGATATATCATCCAACTCTATCTGAATCCTCTGCACTGTCACCCAAACACTCTGAAATGTTCATATTGGAGCATTGCATGCACAAAATTAAAAATATAAATGGGTGACAAATAACCCATTGCATCCTGTATTTTCTAATATTGGCATTATTTAGTCTATTTATACTAATATATAGTGATTTTTTCTAAAACAATTAGAAATTTCACTTATTTATAAATGCAATGTTTTATACAAAATGGTATTTGTTTGAAACAGTTTAATAAAGTAAAATTAATCTATTTTATGTTAACTATAACCCCCCCCCCCAAAAAAAACAAATTTTCTTAATTTTAGAGGAAGAAATATTCATCAAAAGCAATAAAATTATTTTAATTATTATTTAATTTTTATAAAAATGAAATGAATGTTATATACTTACTTGGCAGAACTATTATTACAGACAATGTATTCAACTTCATCTGTGTAAGGATTCTGGAAACTGAAGCTACTTGTCCTTAACCATATCCATTCTCGGTTGGATGCACGGAAACGATACATAATAGACATCACCTGACCTTTCAATTTTAATACTGAAAGTCAGAAAAGTAACAAGTTATAAAAAGAAAATAAGTCTATGACTAAATTATATGAAAATAAATTTTGTATTTCACATCCATTTTAGAATATATCATTTGCATGTAAAATTTAAAATAAGTTATTTTTTGTGTGTGGGAGGGTCAAGCAGATTTAAATTTTTTTTCTTGATGTTCACTGAAATTTGTTTAAGCATATTTAAACATTCTTTATGTTGTATATAAAAAAAAAATATGAGCTTAAGTAAAATCTTAGTTTAAAAAGTTTTCTTTTCTGTATTTACCTTGGTCAAAACTGTCTTTCATATGTGCTTGATCTTCTGGGTGATAAAAATCAAATGCAGATTTACCCAGAAGTTCTTGTGACTGATAACCTAAAACTGCTGTTACCCTGAGAGAGAGAGAGAGAGAGTGAGAGAAAAAGAAAAGTGAGAGAATAATGAAAATAGAAGTTTAAGCAAGAACAAAAACTAACTTTTTATAAAAATAAGAGAATGTAATTGAAAATAAATTATCTTGTCATTATTAAATTAATTCTAATAAAATGAAACCAAATATATTAGCATAATATTTTATTTTATTTGGAAAAATGTTTTATCAATTTTATTTAATGATAAGAAACTTACCGTTGATCAACAAATGTGAATTTTCCATCAATACTGTGTCGAGTGATGAATTCAGAAGAAGCATTTGGACCCATAAGATCATTACAGTTGGTGGCACTAGTGACCTGAAGTCGACCTATACCAACCAAGCAACAGTGACTGTGAGGTTCTTCTCCGTCGGTGCGTTCTATCTGCTGCACTCCTACAGAATTAATGAATCCATTGTCAAGGTCTGAAGGGAAGTAGCAAGCAGGTTAATTATGGCATTCACATTCATTGATCAATTGAGTGATATATGTTTGATGGCATTTTTAGTATATGATTAAAAACAACTCTTAAAATGCAAATTGAAAAATTTAATCTAAAACATTTTTACAGTGCAATATGTTTAATTAGCGATGACAAATGATATAGTACTGTATTTGTCAGCCTATAAAATACAGGCTTTATAAGGATAATTTTTTTAACAACTGTTCACCTCAAAATGATGTTGGTCACCTAGCTTTACAGCATAAACCAATTCATAATGCCAGTTCATTGGATGCAAGTCATATTTGTATACTTTTTAGAAAAAAGAAATGCACATATCTTGTAGGCTAACAAACAGCAACAGTAATTTATAAAAAAAAAAAATAAATAAATTACATTAAATCCTTCAAGTAACAACATTTTCTACTTAATAAATTTGTGATTTTCTTGATAGTTATTTCTGTAAGCGTCATGAATTAAGGAAATTGTATTCAAAAGGAAAGATGTTTCATTGATTAACGAAACAAAACATGAATATATGCAAAGAAAATACTGAGTAAGAAACAATTTGTGAAAAATATCTTAGTGGAGAGATTTTAAACACTGTATATAATAAATTGATGCAACCATTGTAACAACTAGAGTCAAAGTAAAGCAAATTCTTATTTTCAATATTTGGCTGTACAAACATTAAAAATGATTTAAATGGGAAAAAACAACAGAAAAATATTTCTTGGAAAATGTGAGAGTGAGAGGGGGGTATGAATGCTTTTAAGATAATATATTTCTCTTAACAATATAAAACAAGAACAAATGTTTTAATTTTTTTGTTTTGGTAATTTAGTTTTTAATATTTGCAATAAAAAAAAGTTTAATATGCTATTAAATACAGTAGTTTTTCTAAAAATCCCACATAAAAATACACATTTTCCTTAAAATTTAAAAAAATATCCCTAATCATAAAAATTTGAATCTTACCAAATGATATAGTCACTGAATGTCCTTTTTGTCCATTGATGTCATCACATAACTAGAACTATGCCTACCAAATTTGTTTGGTTACTAAGCAGATTCTAGAGCCAGTTTTAGTATTTATTAATTCCAAATATTCTCAGCAAAGGTTTTGATTTATTACATTGTAATACTAAACTTGATCCTTGTCATCAGATTACTTAAGCTGAATCTTTTGTTTCACTGTATAAAGTAGAATAACTGAAAATTTTCTACTCATACACTGTAGTTAGGATCCCCCCTCATGATTTTTGCTGATTTGTTTCTAGTCATTGGAAAATCAAGAATTAAAAGAAAAATAATACTGTGAGGTGTTTACATTTGTAGTATGAGCAATGGCTAGAAAACCACTGTTTGGTGATATGCCTGTATTTATTGCTGTAATAAAAAGTAGATTAGATAAATCTAGTCAGTTGTGTACTTTTGTGAAATCCCTGACTAATAGATATTTAAATTAGATAGAATAAATAGAGATTAGATAGATTAAATAGATATTTAAATTAAATGCAATACAAAAGCTCATGATGGTGATTTTCAAATAAGGCAAGAGTCAATAAACATATAGTTCAAATCAATGATTTCCGATTGGGGCCAAAAACCCTATTTAAGCTTTCTGCAAGAAGTAGTTTAAAATGCTGCCTGTAGGATGGGTTTTCAATTAATTAATAATTAAAAAGAATGTGCTAAAAATAACCACAAGTTTTATTCAACAAAATCATTTGTAAAAATTATTTGTTGATTATTTATAGTTTGTAAAAAATAATGTAAACTAAAATCATCTTTGTTTCCATTGCTGTGATGTTTAAATGTTTAAGTTAATGTGAAGCTTTAAATATTTCCTCAGGAAAAAAATAAAAAATCACTTGAAAAGAAGGAAAATCACTTGAAAATTACAGTAAGCTTTCTTATTAAAAATTAAAGGAAAATAGTCATGAAATAAATGCTGGCATACATTTTGTAGGATTATGCTTATATAATTTGTGAAAAAAAAGCAACCATTTTATTTTTAGCAACAAATTTTAAAATTTGACAAACTCAAGAATTAGTTTAAATTATTTCATTACACTGAATAGTCTCAAAGACTTATAAAAAGAAATAAATTTATATAGCATATCAATCAGATTGAGAGATGTTTTTAAAGTATTAATTTTCACCAATGATTCTTGCATTAAATTGGAAGTGGGGCTTATGTAAGAGCTATATCAACAGTTGCATTGTTAATGATAAGTTCAACCAAGCTATGACCCTATAACTTTATCAATACTGCTTCTCTGGAAACAATTTCATAGACATAATAGCATTAGGATGTCCTTCGAAGACACAGATTGACCAATTCACTCAATATATTTGATGCAATATAAATGAATTATTAATTGCCATAAATGAGCAGGAAAAATGATGTCATGAATCCAAGCAAATCTGAGCAAGCTTGACATGATAAATATCAGTAAAAATACCACAGCTATTTCCTCCAAAATAACAATAAATCTAATCTTAATGACTTATATTGCCATAGTAGTTTTTTTTCAGTATAAGTAAAACTAACACAGAGTTAACAATTTAGGCCATTTATTTCTTTTCTTTGCCTAATAACATTAATAAACCAAATATTAAAACTGGAAAATACTAAGAGAAATAAATAGAATAAGTTACTTTTATATAATTTTTTAAACAGTAAAATAAAGAGAAGATATTTAAAATAAACAATCAATTACCTCTATTGGAAGGTGGCCAGTTCTTGATGTAACCTGTGACATGGATGACAGAATAATGACTGCCATCAGAAGACGGGCCAAAAGTGTTTCTCTGACGAACCCGTACAGTGTGATTTGCAGTCACAGGATCCACCTGGACATTGCCCATCTTCATGCGACAGATGAAACCACGACGTGAACCCATACATAGTCTAATAGATGCTGTGGAAAAAACAAAAAAATTATAAATATGTTATAAACTGGACGCGCATGCTTTGGTTAGGACTCAACAAATTGTATTGTATTTGTTTACTTATTACATAGAAAATTTACTTCTAATTTTTGGCCAACCCTATATATACATGAAAATTTTATAACCACAATATTTATGTCAGTCATAGAGTTGTCAGTTATGAATGTAGAAAGAAATTACAAAAAAACAAAACAAACAACCCCGCCCCCAATAAAATAATTAAAATTTTTTTTTTTTGTTTTTTAAGATTTATAAAAAAATCTTTTAGGCAAGAAAATACATTTAGTGAAAATATGACAATTTTAAGTAAAAAAAAGAAAAAAAAAATTGTTGAGTAAATTTGTCATTATTATTCTTAAAAAAAAATAAACAACACAAAACAAAAACAAAAAGCATTTCTTAATTAGGTATAACTACCAGTATAACAGTCATAAAATTAACAATTTATGACTGTTATCTAGTCAGTTTAGAACCAGGAACAAACATTATAAAGTGCTATAATTTTTTTCTTTTTATTGTGAAACTACATACTATTCTGACATGAAAATTAGAATATGCTTTGAAATGTAATTATGCCTAATGACAAAGAAATCAACTAAAAAGAAAAAAGGGGCAAGTTACTTCTTTATTTTTTTTCCAGTTCTGATTAGGAAAAATAAGGAATTTTGAATTGTTGAAGGACCATAAAAGTTAAGTTTTGTAAATAAAAATGCTCACCGAAAAGATTATAATTCTTTCAAATATAACTAATGTCATAGGCTTTTAATGAAATAAAATATTATTACATTCAGAAATGAATGGTTTCTACATAAAAAAGTAAAGACAAACTTCTTTTTTTATATATGTAATATTTTGGATATGTTAAAATTAATGTTTATTAAACAATGCGTATAATGTATGAAGAAATATTAAAAAAAAAAAAAAAAGAATCAAAATGCTTACACTGATGACCCTCTTTTTTAACAGTTCCAGCTGCAAATAAAAATATTTTGTGAAATTGTAATTTCTGCTGATTTGAGATGATGTTTAGCACTATGAAAATTTAAGTAAATATAAATTCAAATACTAATTTTCAGGATACACAGAATTTATGCCAGGCAATTAATATTGAGAAAAGGAAAATGAGAAAATTTTAACAATGAATACAAAAATATTTAAGGTTTTATAATGAAATTTATTAACATACATTTATTTTTCTTTGAAATTGAAAAATCAATTGTATGAAAATTTGAACTAAGTAACAATCCTAGATCTTTAAATTATAGGTGTACAGAAAAATTAAATGTATTACTAAAGTTCAGTTATTTTATTTTCCCAAATAAACATTATGCAGAGTCAGCACCAAAATACTAATTTATTCAAAATAAAGAACCTTTAAGCAGTCAAAAACATTATGAACTGATGAGTATGATTCAGTATTACAAACCATGAGAATCACTTTTTTGGAAGATTCTATCAAATTGATTAATTGTAAAAATCCAAATTCTAAAAGTCTAGATACTCCAGATGCTATAAAGAATGAACAGATTAATTGTGCTAATTTATAATAAATTTGAGACATCATTCAAACCTGATTTGTCTCAGATGACTGAATTTACTTTCATTGCAACTATTCAGCTAAGCTGCACATCCAATTTGCAGCTGACTCAAGCTAGTCGTTATCAGTGCTTGGCAATGTAAAACAATATTGTTCTATAAGCTACACACATCAAACTCTCAAGAAACAGAAAAAAAAATTATTCTAGGATAATATTTTAATTGTTCAATTGAATTGATAATATAAACTAATAAAATTTTCTTTTCTATAATGACCATTTGCCATGCTTACCTCTTACACTACTGCAAATCAGTTATAGTAGGTTACTTCAAACTTCTTTGAAAAATAGTTTAATTGATGGTTTCTAAAATCTTCAGTCAAGCAGTAACAATCTCAGCAAAACCATCTCATAAAATACTAAAGAGCCATTCTGCCTAATAGCACACAATTTTAATATGTGCAGACTATATTGCTCATCACATGATCATGTTTTAAGATAGCAGTCAAATAAGCTTTAAAAACATTTTCATATTTACTTTTTAAGTCCAAGATCCGACCAGTATTTTGAGAATCTGTAGTAGACAATTGTTCTCTAACTTTTTCAAGGTCATCAGGATGCACCAAATCATAGATAGTATTTCCAAACCAATCAGACTTAAAAAAAAAAAATTATAAAAAAAGCCTTCAATAAATAATAAATGTGAAACAAAGTATCATGAAATTAAAGCTATTGATAATTATTTTTCAATATTCAACATGTTATACTAACCATGAACATAAAAATAAAGCCAAAAATGAACCCATATCTAACAAAACATATTTATAAACATATTAATCACAAACATCATTTTTTGTAATGCCATGTCTCTTCAGGGTGTAGGTGAACATGGCTTTCCAGAGATTACTTTTATTATCTGTAAATTTCCATGACTCTGGAAAAATACTGGATTGGTTTTTTGTTACCTTCTCCTAGACTGGCTACCACCCAAGGCTAGAGTGCCTAGTACACCCCACTATTTACCCCATAGTTGAAGGGAGAAGAGATGTTTTAATGCCTTTATCAAAGATATTAGTAGTGTGAATGTGAATGCAACAAACTAGACTAGAATTTTAACTCAGCTTTCCAATTTCACTTTCTGCATCAATCATTATGTGACTCACATATCCTCAGCTTTTCAGAAGCAAGAATTGAAGAACCCTGTTCAAAAATAATTAAAAATTATGTTGATTTTTGGATTAAAAGTGTGAATTTCATTTTACCCATAAGTTTGTTCTTTAAATTTTAAATGATTTGTGAATATATACTTTTGGACATTAACATATTACAAGAAAAATCAATGAGCATGTTTAATAAAAATTTATAGATTTTCCCCTCAGCTTCTATTAACCCTTGCTTTACAATTAATTTATTCCTGAGTAACTTTGGAAGGCATGTAATCACTAACTTTTTGAAATCTATTAATAGCGATAAATAAAGCCCTAGTCTTTGACTGCATTGTAATTTTATTATAATAACCTAATATACTACTCAAAGGCTCATTAACTGAAAAAATACTATAGAAAATATCTTGTGCTTATTTTTAGTTGGATTAATTCTACATTGTCTTAAAATATTTATAAAACATACTTATTTTTTAAAATTTACTTGTGAATGGAAATTTCTTGTAATAATGAAAATTATTTTCTTTAAAATTCGTTTTTGGCATAGATTGCATAAAAAATAAAAACAGTAACTGGTTGATATTTTTCGGAAACAAGAAATAATAGTATAAACCTTAAAAGAAAAAAATCTATGTAATTTTTCATATAGACCCAACTCATTACTGTACATTTTCATTTAATAAAAGAAAACATTTTCTGCTAATTTTATGACCATAACATACATTTAAGATTTTATTTAAATTTAAAATATTTGAAGAAAAATCGAGCAAATGAAAGGAAATATTTAATTTTAATAAATGAACTTATACAGTATAAATGTCTTGCTCTTGCAATTAAGAAAAGAAGTAACCTGATAGAAATATTTAGGTTAATATAAAGCCAAAAGTATAAAATAATAAATCATTAGTTACCTGAGATTGATTGAGGACTGGACACACTGAGTCAGATACATAAATAATTCTTCCCGTATCACACTGAACTACGAACAGAAAACCATCTGCTGCCTGAAATCAAAAATTGAAATGTTAATTCCAAGCATAGACCAAGTTATTCAACATATTTTATAATACTGAAAATTAATATATTTAATTATGCAAGAAAGAAAATATCAAGCATATAAAATGTTATCCTTAAAACTACTCTGATGCTGTAAAGTTTCTATTCAAGTGTATCTTGAAATAAAAAGAACAGATTGTGTTACTTAAATTACTTGTTCTCATATTTCAGAATTTTGGAAGTGTTCCTTTTTCATAAGAGTCCTAATGATTAATGGTTATTAGGATATAAATAATGGTGCTCAGTATATTTATTTATCTTTAATAAACAAGATATATGATTGACAGAGCTAACCTCTAGTATCAAATGTTTCAGTTCCTGGTCCGTGAGAAATGAAGGCTTATATGATCCATCATTACTGGTGTTTCCAGTTCCTAAAGGAAAAAGTTAAAGAAATGAAAAGTAAAGAAAATTTAATTAATCATAAACTTTTGGTAGGAAATTATATAAATTAAATGACAACGCTAAGTTGTTTATAGTTATTTAAGCAGCCAACAGATGAAATAGCAAAATGTCAATAAAAAAATAAAAAAATCTGAAAAAAAACAAAAAAAAAAAAAAAAAAAACACAGTGTGCCAAAAGGATAGTTATTCCCTTGACTTCACAATTACTGTATACACTTTTGACTCCTTCAGGAAGATTTACAAGATTATAAAAATATGTAAACCAAGTACAATGCAATATTTATTATTTACCTTTTATAAACATTTATTTAACATTTTATAAAGAAAAAAAAATTAGACATTCTGCAATTCTATGCAAGGAATACTTTGTCTAAAATCTAAAATTGAAAGAATGTTTGGTTCAAAGGAAGAGATGCTCTCAACCTATTTTAGTGAATTTATGTGGTAATAAAACAAATGCCCAGAAAATGCAGTTACTGGTCATGTGTTTATTTAAATGTTCTTTTTCAGACATTTTTATAAATATATGAATAAGAAAATTTATTTTAATTCTTATTTCTTTATAAAATGATAAATAATAAATATTTCATTATAGCTGATGGACATATATTTATAATATTGTAAATATAAAATTATTCTTTTAAATAAGTAATCTAATAAATAAATAATATGTAATATCTTTTTGGTTAATTTTTAAGAATAAAGAAAAAAAAAACAAAAAAACAAATCCACTTTCATATGTTTGGGTTTTACTAAAATTCTAATCATTGCTTTTTAAAACAACATTGCTGAGGGAGTCAAAAGTGTATACAGTAATAGTGGTGTAAATGAAATAACCATCCTTTTGACACTGTTTTTTGTGGGCACATTGCCAAAAATTCTCTGCAAAGTAGAAATACAAAAACTCAAGATTAGTTCTGGTTGCAGACAATGGAGAACATTTTAAAAGAATATTAAATGCTGTAGAATGTCAAAAAATCCCAAAATTAACGATGAAATTTTCACTTTATAATTATTTTTTTAAATTAAAAATGTATATGTAAATAACCATAACAGAGTGTTGAAATTTTGTGGCTTAATTCATTTCCTAAATATCAGTATTGCTTACAGAGCACTTCTTTGTAGGTCTCATAACTTTCAGCACTCTTGATTACATTGAAATTACAGTAATTTGCAAACACTTCTAAAGACACACATATCATGCTGGCATTTTATTTGCTATATTGAAACTGTATGTGAAATTTGACTTTATTTTCTTACAATATTTTTTTAGTATTAACCATCTTGCTGTTAATAGAAATAATGCACATATACTTGCAAGGACTCAGCACATGCTTAAATTAAAAGTACATTAGAAGAAATTTAAATGAAGAAAGGATTAAAAAAAAAAAATAACAGCAACTTTATTTATACAGCAATTAGGCATATTTTTATGAAGTTATTTCCAAAGTCATAAATAATAGTAAAAAATTATGCATTATTCTTTGGTGATTAACCAATTATAATTCCACCTCTGCAATTTTCCAGAGATCATAAATTCTCTATCAATGTATATAAATTCTTTCTCAGTATTTACCTAGAATTATCATAATTTAGGAGTTTATTGTAAACAAATAGTTTACATTATTATTCTACAGAAAATTAAAAAACCTATTGAATCCACATAAAATAAAATGTGCATTGTACATTTAATAATTTTTAACTTTACATTGAGTTAGGAATGTAAACAATCTTAGACAAAAGTATTAAGATGTTTACTTTCTAATAAAGAGAAAATGTTCAACTGTAAAGATATAAAAATTCATACTAAATTTAAAACACTATAAAGATGTAATTAAAAAAGAAATCATTGATATTCCCAACAATTACAGATAATTTCTTTATTCAAAATGGGTATTATACAATGTCACTACTTCTTCCAGTGTATGTAAAATTATTCTACAATAGCAGATGTTTTCTAATTAAAACCTGATAAGTGATAAGAATACTATATTTCCTATTTGAGTTATGTAGGAAAGATACATGTAAGAAAGGAAAGTTTTAATTCTTAGATAAAACATTGAAAGAACAATGAAATGATTAAATATTAACGTTAAAAATTAGAAGCAAAGAAAAATTAAAAACTTAATAGCAAGTTTTTGATAACAATTTAGATTTTAGTTATAACCATTGTTTCATCAATGAGTTGGTTTGTTTTCACTTACTCTTTGACAGATTTTATACAGAATATGAGAAAACTTTCATGAAATTCTCAGTTTCTATATTTACCCGATAACTCCATGAAAGTAAAAAAAAAAAAACCCCCAAAAAACAAAGAATCTAAAATCAACAATTTACTTAAAGACCCTCAGATGAATAAGAAGTTTCTTTAATGAAATACTGTATAAAAGATAATTTATACAAATGCTGTTAATGTTTGAATGTCTTCACATTGCTTAAAGACACTTCCTGAAACACTTGAGAACACTCTTTTTCTAATATTATTAGTAAATAAGCAGAGACTAGAATAAATATAGAAACAAAAAAAAAAACCCCAGAAACAAATATTTTGGCATGATAGACACATTCAAAATAATAGGGTTCCATGATAAGTAATAGTTTTGAAAAGAAAAAAAAAAAAGAAAAAGAAAAACGTATCTTAGCAGTACTAAAATCAATTTTCACTATTAGAATCTTCATATAAATGAGTCTCATTTGTTTGAGAATTGCTGTCAAATATTATTGAACTTGTGTTTTTGTATGAAGTTAATATTCAGACATTAATACAAAATTCTGACACATTTTATTTACCAATCGATGTCTCAGGAACATCAATATCAGGTGGCCTGAAGTAGACGCTGACGACCAACTGTGGGACAGGACCAGATAAGCCTCAATCGAGATTGACATCAAGAAATGGAAATGGGGATGGATTGGCCACACACTCTGCAAGCCTGCTTCTAGTATCACTAGGCAGGCAGGCCCTTGACTGGAATCCACAAAGGAAGTGAAAAGTGGGTTGACCTAAACAGACTTGGTGCAGAAGTGTTGACACAGAGGTGAAGGCAGCTGGCATGACATGGGCCGAGCTGAAGAGAATCATTTGTTGTGGTCCTATGTTCCCCAAAGAATCAAGAGGCATAAGAAGAAGAATACAAAATTCTAAGAATTTAAACAATGAAATTAATTATTACTTAATTAAATATTTTGCTACTTACAGTTTACTTAAATTTCTTGGCATTTATATTATTAATTCTTTCAAACATAAATATGATATAAAACTAACCTCTTAATGTCTTCATGTGTGACACTGCCATCCTCAGTATTGTCAGTTTGTCAGGTTTGCGAGCCAGTGTGCTACATGTAGGAACCATGTCACAGAGCTCATTTATATAGGCAGTCATCTTATTGCGTCGACGTCTTTCAATTTCACAATGACTTTCTCTGTAAAAAAAAAAAAATAAAAAATAAATCACAATAAGACCTTTAATTTTTCTTAGTGACCAGATCTAATCAATATATTGAAAAACTTATAAAAATTGGCAAATCTTTAAGAAACAAAAGTGATTCAAACTAATACCAATAATGTATAATAGAAGTTATTCCTTAAATAAAAAAGAAACCAAAACCTTGATGTGTATATACTTTACATTAAAATAAAGATAAGTTTAGCATAAATTAATTTGTATATATTTAAAACTAAAAACAAATTTATTAAATTTAACTTTACACATATAGAATTTGCAACAAAAAACAAATAAACTTTGGATAGAGATACTTTTAAAAAGCCAAATATTTTTGACCTTGCCTTGTATGTACCCCACCATTAATAATTTTTTTATTTCAGTAATAAAAATTTAATTGATTTTGCCAAGTGAAAAAAAGAAAAAGAAAAAAAGGCAATTACAACAAACAAAAAGCAAATTTATGAAAGCTTTGCAAGTGAAAACACAGAGTTGAACAATGAACTCAAAACACTTAAATATCAATAAACATTATCAAATTATGTAAAAGGAAAAAGTGAATAGTTTATTGCAATGTAGAACTGACCAGATTTAAAGATCTTCATTTCTAATATAAATTTTTTCTAATTGTTTAGTGACAAACCAATTAGAAAAAAATCGAGTAAAAGAATTTTGTACATATGTGAAAAACAGATTTTTTGTAGTTCATGTTTTTCAGATATTAAAGAGTTGTTAATGGTCTGAGATAGTTTGAACAAAAAGTAACAAGTATAATTTTATAAGGACTAAATTAAATGTTTGACAACAGGCCCAAAACAGTTATAAGATGATGGCTTATAGTGAGTACATGTGAATTAAGAACCTAATAAAAAAAAAAAAAATTTTTTTATGAACTTTAAATAAAAACAAACCTAGAAAGATCTAACTGGAGCATATATATCAAAGACACTTAACAAGAGAATGTTATGGCTAGAGGTTAATTTTCATTTGTATGTTTAAGCTACAGAGATATATGAATAATAACTATTGCTATGATGAGGATGTGCCAACTTATAACACAAGAGACCAAATCATGGGTCTTTGTTTTGTTTCCTAGTTAAAGATGCATAATTACTGAACCTTGATTTTTGGCCAACCCTATATATATACATGAAAATTTTATAACCACGATATTTATGTCAGTCATAGAGTTGTCAGTTATGAATGTAGAAAGAAATTACAAAAAACAAAAAAAAAAAAACAAAAAAAAAACAAAAAACAAACAACAACTAATTTAATTTTTTTTTGTTTTTTTAAGATTTATAAAGAAATCTTTTAGGCAAGAAAAAATGATAATACATTTAGTGAAAATATGACAATTTTTTATAAAAAAAAAAAAAAAAAAAAAAAAAGAAGAAGAAAAGAAAAAAAAGAAGAAGCATTTCTTAATTAGGTATAACTACCAGTATAACAGTCATAAAATTAACAATTTATGACTAATCTAGTCATTTTAGAACCAGGAACAAACATTATAAAGTGATATAAATTTTTTTTATTGTGAAACTACATACTATTCTGACATGATGAAAATTACAATATGCCATGAAATGTAATTATGCCTAATGACAAAGAAATCAACTAAAAAAAAAAAAAAAAAAAAAAGAAAAAAAAAGCAAGTTACTTCTTTATTTTTTTTCCAGTTCTGATTAGAAAAAGTAAGGAATTTTGAATTGTTGAAGGACCATAAAAGTTAAGTTTTAAGTTTTGTAAATAAAAAATGCTCACCAAAAAGATTATAATTCTTTCAAATATAACTAATGTCATAGGCTTTTAATGAAATAAAATATTATTACATTCAGAAATGAATGGTTTCTACATAAAAAAGTAAAGACAAGCTTCTAGTTAAAGATGCATAACTGAACCTTGATTTCAGATTGAAATATCTTTCCAATGAATATCTAGTTACTTCTTTTTTTTAAGAGACTGTATAAATCTAATAAAATACTTGATATCAAAGTGCTTATATGTTAGGCCATAAAAATTCCAAAAATAATTTAAACTCTAAGAGTGCAATAGGAATGAAAAATTGGCCTTTGGGGAAGAATACTAAAAATAAGAGAAAAGCATAGTGATAGTAGCATATATACATACTTTTGAAAAAATTATTTCTCTTGGATACAGTTTGTTTAATATTAATAATATTAGAATACAAGTGGAGAGTTTTTAAAGCAAATATTTGTTTATTTTTATCATTAAGCTAACTAACAAGTTAAACTTAAGATCTTTATGTTTGGCAGCTTCATTAAAACACCTTGATATTAATTACAGTAATAATGACAGTGACTTAAACTATATATATATATATATATATATATATATATATATATATAATCTGTGTGTGTGTGTGTGTATATATAGCATTGAATATTTTCCTGAAATGCATACATCTTTATTGGGATAATTTAAAGATTGTACATGATTTAAAAGAAACTTATGCAACCGTGAAAATTTAATAGATGACAGCTCATCTGATGCAAAGTAATTCATCAATCATAGTACATTTTGCAAATAAAACAAAAACAATAAAACTTTTAATGATGCCACTAGAAATGCAGACTAAAAGTTTCAACCATTGAAAGAAAACTTTAAGATGTGTATTTCTTGTACTTCAATTAATAAAAAGAATACACCAAGCAATATAATCTCTTTTTTGTTAAATGAAGTTGAGAAAAGTCTATAATGGAACAGAATAGACTTGAAAAGTTAATTAATGGAATTACTGACTATAAATTTGGAAAACAAATTATTTCTTTGATATAAACAAGAAGCAATGACTATATGAAAATGATGAATAAGCAAATAAGTTTATCAGAAAATTCATAGCAAGAGCAGAATACACTAGCAGCTGGCAGACTTAGTGCTTAAAAAAAAAAAAAAAAAAAAAAAAAAAATAGATAAGACGGAGTACCTAATAAAAAATAACAGAATATTGCAGAAGCATGAGGCAGAAAGAGAAAAGGAAGTGAGCAGATTGTTGGGAGGAAGAGACAACAAAATATAGAGGATAAAGAAACAATCTAAATTCAAACTGACGTATCATTTTTCAGACTTTAAATGAAAATATTGTTCTGATCAAATCAGCACACTCAAAAATCTTCAAGCAAGCCACAGGAGCTGTGTGTGTGTATATATATATATATATATGATGAAGAATATTAATTTTTAAAATAAAGTATAAGATTAAATGGAGACATTTAGTCACATCGAAGTGATTAGACTTTTCAGATGAAAATAATAATGCATTTTGAATAGAAAATACTTTACAATTCAAAACCTATCAATTACTTTATTAGTGTTTCTAAAATCATGCATAAATAGTGCAAAAGAATTACAATGCAAAAAAAAGAAGAAAAATTTAAATGATTGAAAATATCCTGTTCAGTTTTTGTACTTCTTTAAGAAAAAAAGATTAGAAAAAAATTGTTTTGTTTTCAAAAACTGAAAAAAAATATCAAAATGTACTTGATGAGGATTCAAATACTATACAAATTTTCTGCTTTAAATATTTTAATCTTATTCTAGATCAACAAGAAGCAATAAACATTTTCACTATTTTAATTTATATAAAACCAAAACAAACATCAGAAAATTATTTTCATAAAGGCAAATCAACTAACAACTAGACATTAATTAATAGTATCATTATTATGTACTTATTATTGTTAAATTAATTTTCTTTCTAACACCTTACAATGATACTTTTGTCTGGTTAACACTTTCCTGGTACACTGATTATTTTCATAAGAATTAAGGTCACATCAATTTTGGTATTGTCAATGCAGATAAAACTTAACAGCTTACAAAACCAAATCTATAAGCAGGTGCTTATAGCAGTCATTCACTTTGACCTTTTTTGTCTTCAGCTGATTTGAATCCTTTGCTAAAAAGCATTAGAAAAATAAATAAATAAATAAATAAATAAAAGGTAATTTTTAATAATCTAATGAAGTTGAACTTTTCAATGGCTTAACCAACACACTTTTCACTGCAATAGAGTACAGTGTTCAGTGTTTCATAATTATGTTGGTCGTATTCCTATTTTATAATTTTTGTTTCACAATTTCTTTTTGGTTAATGTTAGGGAAATTGATATTGGCTACAATTCTCAAATGGTCTTCAACTAGTTTATGTTTATTTTGTAAATTACAAGTAGTTATTTACATGAAAGAAAAACTAATTTTACAAAAGATCACCTTACAGCTAGAGAATAAGTATTTTATGCAAGATACAATTCAGCATATTCTTTCTTAACTTAAAGCAATTAAAATGTTTAAATGGTTATTCATTTGGTACTGAAATAATATTTCAATGTTCTAAAACCACGACTATGAACAATAGTACTAACATTTATCAAATTAAATTTGATTTTAATAAATATCGCATACATTCAAGCGTAATTCAAAACCACTTCGGTTTTAATTCTATTAAAAGATCTATAAATCATTAGATAATAATGTCATATATTGATATATTTCAGATTTCAATTTAGTTATATTTTTGGTATGCTCAAGTTTTGTTGTTTTTTAAAAAATACATATGAAGATATCATAGAAAGAATAAAGACTGAAATGCCTAAATCAATTTCATAGCAGAAAATCAAACACAGGATTTACAATATAATCAATTAAAAAAAACAAAAACAAAACAGAATTTGTTTGAAATTATGACTAGTCAATTATATTAGGTTTCAAATGTGACAATCCTAACTACATTTAACTGGATATTTTACATTTAAATATCCTGACCAGTTTACTATTGTTTGAAATCAAGGAAATTTTAATTAAAAACTTGTTATATAAAAACTATTATTTTAAAAAAAAAAAAAAAAAAAAAAAATCAATAAAATAACTACTTTGAACCATTGTATTTTACTATCTTTGATGCAATACCAATAAAGATTAAATCATCTTGAAGATTTTGATATATTTTTCTTTAGAGTGGATTAAAATACAGAAACAAAAATTCACAAACATTTCACTCTCAAAGCAAAAGACTAAGCAAAATGCAAAGTATCAGTCTGGCGTGAAAGGTAATGGCAGTGAAAATTATAAAAACATTAAAATTGGAAAAGTGAAGGTAACATGATGCATTTTACTGTGTTACCTAAGAGAAATACATTTTAGGTAAAGTTTTCATCTGCTTTTTTAAAAGAACAATAACTGCAAAAATTAACAGAAGTTACTTCTCTTGTGAAGCAAAATTGAAAACTTGGTTGAAGTAGAATATTAAGTATTAATGACTTCTTCTGATAATGAATTTGCGCAGAGAAAGAACAGGATAATATCAATGTTGAAATGAAGCTGATATTAAAAATTGGTTTCCCCGTAAGATTTCAGATTAAATATACAAATTTTTATTTTTACTCAATTTAAGAGAGTGAGCGAGCAAGAGAGAAAAGTACCTGTGAAATGTTAGTAAAAACTAAGCTGATAAAATATTGGTATTATTTGCTTTGCATATTAATATATTTAAGTATAATTATTGTTTATAGATCAGGTTTCCCTCTACTGTTTAACTAATAAAATATTAATATTCTTATGTATCAATATTTGCTAGTTGAGTTTCAAAGTATTACATATCGACTAGCTGTAAACTTTAGGAGTAGGAAAGTACTGCTTGAATAACTAACATCTTAAAATATTAACTTGTCAGCTTCATGATAACATACAAAATCCAGTGTCTTAACACAATTTTGGGAAATTGGAAAATCAAGATTAATAGAAAATTTCAAGTTAGAACCTTTCACTGCTACACAAATTTTGTTAATGAAGCAGAAGACTCTTACAACACAAATTGATACTGAATTACACTCACAGTCTTATGGAATGTTGCCTGTCACTGTGATGGAAGCATATAATGATAAGAAGAAACAAATTTAAGTGAATTTATGCACAGCTGGTAAGTTAGCATAAATAAGCAGATTTGAAACAAGAAAAAAAAGTGTTATTATTTATGAAATTACTGACAATCAAAGATGCTGTTTAGGAGAAATTTTATAATCAAGATATAATAATCTATCTAAAAAAAATAGTAAAATCTTTAAATCTTAAAAGTTAGAGAAGTTATATATGGATCTGCATAACAAAAATTAATAAAGTACATATAAACTCTCAGAAAATCTTTTTATTTTTTTTTTTTTTTAATTCTTTCATTCAATTTTTTTTTAAATAGTTAGTTAAGGTAGAAATTAAAGCTATCAACTTAATTTATATTTAATAAAATGACAAAACTCAGATATCAAGAATTATAAAGTAATTTCAAAATTTGAAAAAAAAAAAAAAATTGACCTTTAAAACTGGCAACTATGTTTAGAAAATGCTAGGATATAGTAAAGATCTGTATTTTTAGTGCTTCTTTTTTTTGCTAAAAACTGGCTATCAATTAAAATAGTAAATTGGACTATTTCTTATTCAAGTAGAAATAGCTTACAATGGAAAATAAAATTAAAGTCTTAATTAAAATTCATAAATTTTAAAAAAGAAATTCTTTTTAATCTTGTTTGATTAAATTCAAGAAAGCTATAAAAACTGTTGAATTCATTTAAGTTAAAACAATCCAAAAGTTAAGTACAATTATGTAACAAAAAGACTAGTAGTATATTTCTGCCACCAGGGAGAACTAACAATGAATTTTATCAAAATTAAATGCCACTATATAGCAATAAATATGATTATCAGTTTAATAAAGAGACATAAATTTAGCAAAATAATGGAAAACCAAATTACACTTTCATGCCAACTGAGTATTACCAATGAATCTTAATTCAAAACTATTTTATGGTTAGACAACATACTGATATAACTATTAAGTTGGTGCAAAAGCAACTGTAGATTTTAGCAAACAACTTTAAAGCAGTATATCTTAGTGTTGTGTATGATACACCTAATTTACATAAGCGGACTACCGACCATATAAATATGGGTTGGTACCGGAAGACGGGGGAGATAGTAGAGATTAAGAAATTGAATCCAGAGACTCTGCCCGACTGCGATTTAGTCAACCCATTATGCAGGAACAGTCTTCCCAAGAATATACCAAACTAACTGTAAATATTGTGTACCTATTCTTTGTTTCAATACATTTTGTTAACGTACATTTTGTGTTGTATTATTCCATGCTTATTTAAGCTTCAACACTTAGTTTAGAGTTAGAATTATTAATTGAAATAATGATTAAAATCTATTCATTGTTGCCAACAATAAATAAGTGTATTTGTTCTGGTAGCAAAGAATTCTGGAGTCTTGGAACTGATATAGTTGGTTGGAAGAGGTATAGTGAGTAAGCTGGGTAAAGTAGAATCTCAAAATCTAGTTCATTCAATTCCTGCAGTAATTTGCACAATGTGGTTATATATTGTCATGGAAAAGAATTGGTCTTTTTAACTGACCAACAATATATGCACTACTCTTGATGCATTTTTGTCAGTTTTCTGTCAATAATTCTGTGTTGTGATGTTTTTGCCAGGATTCAAGAAGTTGTATTGGATGAGTCCACTGGCTAACCACCAGTGACTATAACATAAATAAAGATGCCGTTTTGCTTTTTAAGTGTTTTAAACTCGGTTCAGCCATTGTGCAGTATCAAATCCATTGTCATAATACGATCAAGAAGTGCCTAGTTCTACAAAAGACTTTGTAATACCATTTTTTTCAGCTCATGTGGCAATTGATTGTCAAGCTTCTTTGATTTTTCAGTTTGTTACAAAAGTTAAACAACTGATGAATGAACACCATTTAGTTCTTATATAATATCTTAAGTTGTTTTGCATAGATCCATTTAAATAATGACCCTTAATTTGTTGTTGTCATTCACAGAAGGATGTGTGACTCACTTCATCTGCAAGGTTCTTGTCTTTGTCAATAAATTTTGGAAAACAATATTGACAGTGCCTTGTCAAATGCTCACTTGATATTGTTAGCAGTTTCTGTTTCTTTCTGTTCCATTGTGAATTCATACTATAATATCATTGAAATTTGTGTTTTTTCCCTATTTTAACATTGAAAAGCAAAACAAAATATTAGCTTAAATTAACAGAGTAAAATTCAAGCTTTAAAATGGTTAATTACATGAACAGTTTATTCAAAAATAAGCTTAAAATTTTAAAATAACAAAGACAATTATTTTTGCACCAATCTAATATTTGATAAACACTCCAATGAAATGTTTGGTGATTATTCAAATTCTTGTTTCTCAACTGACATTAAAAATGATGAATTAAGTAAATCAAGTATTTTAAGAATACTAAAATTCAGTAATCAAAATTTTGTAATGAATCAACTATTAAAAATAAATAGTAGAAATACTGCAAAACATAGAATGAACTTAAAATATATACACACGCAAACAGATCTTGTAAATCTGATGAAAAGAGAAAATATAATATAGATATGAATAGTATTAAAACATCAACATATTCAGAAGAAACTATAGGAGAAATACCATAAGAGATATGAAATTGAAAAAAATGAAGTCATTTGGGATGTTTCCACAAATGACTGAAAACAAACTGGAAAACATTTAAGAGAAATATACATAAGATTATCCTAATAAAACAACTAAAAAATTGAAATATAAAAAGATTACTCATATAGAAAAATAACCACCAAACATGTAATTCCAACACTTATAATTAATTATTACTATATTAATGTCCTATAAAACAATAGCATAATAGAAATCAGTCCTGAAATCTCAAGCTATATTTAATACAAGTAATAAAAAAAACAAGACTGTACTCTACTAAAAACTGACATTACTCTGTAAAGAGAGAACAAACTATAGAATATTTTACAAAAAGGAAATATTTTATACTATGTGGAAGCAGAGTCGTTTTAAAATCTTTTGGTAAAACAAACTTATGTAAACCCATCATTATTTGGTGATTAGTAAACTTAAAGAAGAAAAAATGTTTTTAGAGTTTACCAATTTTCTTTGAAAATTTCATCCTAAATCATTAAAGTTCAGCATTCTTTTTAAAATTGATTCATTTTAGAGTGTAATTGCAAAACTAATGCTCCTTATCAAACTGAAGGCATATCATATTTGATTATATAAAACCAAGACTAAGAGTATTTTCCTATTTTTCTTAAAAATAGGAAATAAAATGGCTTGGAAATTAATAGCTATAAATAAGATATTACTACTACAATTTTTGTTTTATGTACTGTAATAAGATACAAAAAAGGCTTCATGAAAAAAAAAAAAAAAAAAAAAAAAAAAAAAAATAGCATTATGTTTTATAATCCCATACCTTGTGAGTGGGGAAAATTAAACATATCTAATGAATTGTAAATATTTTCAGGCTATTTTCAGTGAATATAAACTATGAATTTAAACAGACAAATATTTTCTGCAGTAGTTTTCAGTCAAACTACCAATTTTGTTGAAAAAGTACCTGCTAATAGTTATTGCATCCACAACTAAAATTCAAAGAAAATGTTTTTCAATGCAAGATGATTTTAGTTGTGAACTAAGATGAGACACATCTGTTAAATTCTGTCTTCCTACTCTTATCTAATCACTTAATGTAATTGTCAAACACATTAAAAACACACTTAAATTTACATTAAAACTCTCTTCAATGGCAATCAACGTATTTTGTGATTGAGTATGTTTTCTCAGAGGAAGTTAAATTTTTTTATCCATATGTTGCAAGAGAGTTGTGACCTTAAGATTTGCTGGTGTAAAAATACTTAAAAGTAAAAAAGTTTAAATTATTGCAGAAATAGATTTTTTAACACAGTGGTAGATGTTTATTTAAGGTGTTGACAGGCTGACAGCTTCACTGACAGATGCAAGTTTATCTAATTTTTTCTATGGTGGACATATCTGTAAAAATTACTTGCGGAATATAATGCAAGTGCCATGTTTATTCCATTTTTAACTACCAAGTAATCTCAAAAATTTAGGAAAATGTTCGTAATCTAAATATCACATTGAATTTTAGGTACTTTGGCTTTAAATTTTCTATAGTTACTGCACTTATTTTCTGATAATGTCATGTATGAACACAACCCCCCCAAAAAACAAACCCAACAACAAGAACAAACAAAATTCTTCATAAAATATTAGACTGAATTGTAGTAAGCTTTTCCATTTATGATTGGTAAACATAGATTTTACTTTATAACTATCACCTAACTGGTACAAATTAATACAGAAATTTAAAAAATTTAAAACTTTATAAATTACTCTGATTAAAATTTTTAAAAATTTAAAACATTATTCATTGTGAAAAATGTTTTTCTTAAAATAATCATGTCCATAATATATCTTTTATTCATAAAAGCAATTAAAAGCTTTTCTAATTAAGTAATGTCTTAGTTTTATTGCATTTTTTATTTCATGATTCAGAGCAGATTTTCAGTAACTGGGGATCCTGTTTTACAAAAAAAAAACTAAAAATTGATGATTTAAATTCAAGGAATTCTGCATATAGCTAATATAAACATTAAATGGTATGAAAATTAATTTCTTGAAATTTCATAAAATTAAATAAGAGTAACAGATGTAAAAAATTGTTTTTACCAAGATTTTCTAAAATAATTTCATTTATTTGTGAATAGTCCTAAAAGTTTTTATTAAAATCTAACAATTATTTGATTTTTGCAAGAGTTTTCAAATCATTGTTTTTCACAATAAAAAAAGAAAAAGAAAAAAAAGACACTAAAATTTCCTATACTAATCTTTCGTCCCCTCCACTGATGCAAGAAAAACAAGATTTTTAACCAAAATTTTGAACATTCTAAAAAGGATCAAAAAATATAATTTAATAACCAAAAAATCCTCTGATCTTTCCTCTTAATAATAAAGATTTTGATGATAAAATTTTGTTATTA